GAGCTAAATCCCCGGCCCTAAACCTGTCTTTTGTACATGAATGAATATGATCAAAATACTGCGCTGCAACTGCTAAATGGCTTCATAGTGAGGCACTTTGGTTGAAGTCATTGGATATTAAAGAAATCACCTTTGACCAAAAGAGGTGCTTGGTTTTAGTTTTTTTTTTAAGTATGAGTCATTCAGCCAGGAGTGGAGGCACATGCCTGTAATCCCAGGACTGGAGAAGCTGAGGCAGGAGGATCACCACAAATTCAAGGCCAGCCTGGGCTACATAGTGAGGTCAAGGCCAGCCTGAACTGCATAGCAAGACCCTGTCTCCAAAAAAAAAAAGTGTGAGTCATTCGTGTCTACATTGTCTTTTTCTTCAGCCAAGTTCAACTACAGCATAAACAAGCACCACAATCATTTAATAGTCAACTAAATGAGGTGTTCCTTTTCAATGCAAGTTTAGGCTGAAATAACTGATTTATAGACTTGCAGTGACAGAAGATGCTTCAAACCTTTTGAGGGTTATTCAGTGCACGCAGTAGTTAAGAATGACTGCTCTGTAGTTTGAAATGGAATCCTGACTCCCACAACAGTACACTGTCTCCTCCTACCAGTAACTAGTGTTAAGATTCTGCTATCATCCAGTCTTACTGGGAGGATTAAATGTGCATCTAGCATTTAAGGGCCGATTAGTGCCTGGCACATAAAAAGCATCCCCTAAATGCAAGCTCCTGCTATTAACATTTAAGGGGGGGCCATAGACTCCAATAAGGGCTGCCCTAAAATTGTTCCGGACACCATAAGCAAGGAAGCCAAGGCAAGGCCAATTTTTAACTGAAAGCTGGAGTGCAAACTGAAGTGGGAAAGGTAGAACACATTTCTCTCGCACCTGGTGAACTATATGTATAAGCAATAACCCCCACCACCAACAATTCAACACCCAAGTGAAAAAGCTGCACACTGGGATGGGATAGAAGAGACAGCAGCTGACTTGGACTCCTCATTCTAAGTGCGATTCAAAAAACTTACTCCCACACTTCGCTTCAAACAAGCCGCTTAACAGCTTGGCCTCTGCTTTCCTCACCTGGAAAATGGGATAAACTGCTCTCTCGGAGTGATGCTGCGTGGTAAACGCGGGCAGACGGGCACAGGGCTTTTGACGCGGCTGCTGCCACACAGCAATAGGACAGCCACCTGCAGCAGCTGCCCCTCCGCGCTGGCCACGCCAAGCCTCCGTGAAGGCTCGCAGTTACACAGCGGGGTCCGGGGCGGCTTCCAGCCCGGCTCGGACACCTAGACCGGGGTACGCCGGTCCGCTTCTCCCCGCCTCGGAGGACTGCGCCGAGGATTAAGTTGGCTAATCTTCGGAAAGCGCAAGCACCAGTGCGGGCGAGTGGTTCGCACTCCAGGCGCATTAGCGAGACTTACCAGGCTGCGCAGCTGCAGGCCCTCGGCCGCAGAGGTTCCCGCGGGCGAGGAGAAGGGCGGGCCTGGCCGCCAGGTGAGGCCGCACCGCCTGTCAGGCATCCCGGCCCCGGGCCACGCAACTTCCCGGCCTCGCCCGCAGCCCGCCGCCGGCGACCTCGCCCTCACCTTGCTGGAGGTCCCGGTGGTCGTACCAGGGCTCGTCCTCCTTCATCTCGAACTCCTCCATCAGGTTTCCCGCCAGCATCTCGGCCGCGTCTCCGGAGGCCAGCGGCCCCCGCTGCTGCCGCCCCGCCCTGGCCGCGGCCCCGGGCTGCCCTCCCGGCTCGCCGCCCTCAGCCAGAGCCGCCCTCCTCGGGCGGGACACGCCGCCGCCCACCGCCCGCCTTCGCGGGAGCCCGCAGCGCCCGCCTCGACCGGCTCCCCGACTCGCCTCTCGCCACCCAACACCGGGCGCCCGGCGCGAAAGCCCAGGCCGTCTCCAAGCCGGATCCTCACGCCACAGCCCGACCCAACGTGGCACTGGCGAAACCCTCCCGACCGAAGATGCGATTCAAACCCCTAGCGACGCCTTGACCAATCGCGAGTGGGCCACTGGATAGCGGCAGCTGTCTTATCCAATCGCGTCTCAGCGAGGCCCCGCGGCTCGCCCGGTCCCGAGGGCCATCAGCCAATAACGGCTCCAGAACAAACAAAGGAGGCGGGGAAAGGCCGAAGGGGTGCCCCCGCCCCCTCCCGCCCCCGCCCTGTGTCTCTAGCGTTCGGCGTTCGAGAGCTTGGAGACTGCGGCGCTGGCCGCGGCGACCGTGGTGGGCGATCGTCGTCCAGCCAGTCAGGCCGCGAGCTTGCGGGCAAGAGCGGCGAGGACCTCGGCCTGAGTAGCGGGCTGTGGCTATGGGGCGCACTGGGGGCTCTCGAAGCGCGCTGCCCCGCCGGCCCTCCCAGTATCGGGACGCCCGTTTGGTTCTAGGTGCTGCGCGGGGCATCGAGGTCGAAGTTTAGGGCCGGAAAAAGCCCTTGAGTGTGCCGGGCAGTTTCCCCTGGACCTTGAGCCCTCACCCCGAGCCGCTGAGAATGATGTTCTCTAAAACGGCGGCTCCAGCCCCACGGGCGAATTTGGGGGCCGAGAGAATTGCAAGCAATTTTGCATACGATTTTTCAAAAGTTCGTAAAGATAAGCATGCGGGAGTATGGGTTTGCACCGGAGATGCGGGGCACGCGCTTTACGGAGACCTAACACAGAAACTTAAGAGGGGACAGGGCAGTGGTCTCCACTTGGATGTCGCTGATAGGAGACCTTTATGGACAAGACAGGATTTGAAATAGAAGTATATTATTAAATGATTAGAGCAAAGTTAGAGTGTCAAATTTGGAGAGATGGAAGAGTAGTAGAGTTAGTTCACCCATCAGTGAACAGCAGCAGTGAAATCTATAGATAGTACCTTATGTTAATAATTTAGTAGTAGCCCCTTCCCGTGGATAAGAAGAGCTAGCTACCAGAACTAAAATGGAAAGCCGTTAAAAGTTTGCCTGAAGGGAGAGTGAGTTGGATTTCATTATAAATCCCTCTATGATCTTCTTTTTTAAAACCTGCAAACATTACTGCGATTAAAAATAAGAATTTGTAAAGAAGGAATTAGAGATTCTCAAACCTACTTTTAGCTTTCAGTATAAATGAATGAAACGTATAATTTGGAGGAGGGAGCAGTTCATCCTAAATATTAGAGCCGCTCACCTCCCAACCTTGTTCCAGTCCTTGTAACCCCTCGTGCTGATGCTCACTCCAGGGTCCCCTCGTGTATCATAGACTGCAGGCTCCTGCCACTTTGGAGAAATCTTGCTGAGGACAAGAAAATCTCCCCATTTGGGGGTTGTTCCCCAAAGTTTGCCCTTTAGTCCTTAAGGAAGACTCCTTCATAGAGCAGAAAGTACCAGGGACCTACAGTCGGAAACCTGAAGTTTTAGTCCGGGTTGGTACCAACAGAGAAGCCTTTAGGAGTTTTCGGGAGAGATTACCTCTTTGCCTTTCTTGACAGTTATGAGAATCAAAGAAACTGTGAGGAAGTATTTTTGTGCTCTTTTAAAATATAAATCTGTATAATTATTACTGTTACAGTATAGGTACTCTGGGGAAGAATTATGAGCATCAAAATACACTTTTTTTGGTAGTGCTAAGGATCTTACATATGCTAAGCAAGCACTGTACCACTCCTAACCCATGTACATGAGAATGAATAATAGTGATAACCTATCAAGTGATGAGTGCATATTGATAGAAATAAATGAGAAGAAATCCTTATGGTAGAATGCCAACCAAAAAGTGTAAAAGGAATGATGGTGTTAGAAAGTAAAAATATCTTTGTTTGTTTGTTTTGGGTTTTTTTGCTACCGGAGATCGAACTCGGGTCCTTGCGCTTGTGCAGCAGGCAGCGAAACCACTGAGCTAAATCCTCGAAACCACTGAGCTAAATCCTTGGCCTAGAAAGTAAAAATATTGAATGGGACATTCAAAAAACCCTTTCTTTTGAATAAAGGTGAACTGTTGCTTCTCAGCCTTTTGACTAAGATCGAGTGCAAATAAAGGTGACCTAAAAGGCAGAATGTTACTGTTCTAGTTTATTCCTAGATTAAAACGAAGAAGGCCAGGCATGGTGGCACACACCTATAATCCCAGCACAGGGGAGGCTGAGGCAGTAGGATCACCACCAGTTCAAGGCCAGCCTGAACTATATAGTGAGACTCTGTCTCAAAAAAACCAAAAAAAGAAGAAAGCTAGGTCCCATCTAAAACCTCTACTGCCCACATTGTCAATATTTAGGAAGAGTTATTAGTGCAGAGGCAACAATAAGATAATTTAAAATTGTCTTAATAACTACAGATGGAACCCTTGGAAAGAGAAAATTGGGTTTAGTATTTGCTAATGGTGATTTGTGGAAGCTGAAGGTCTCTAAAATCATGCATCTGACCACTAGATTGAAAGTGCTGGCTGTTTTCTCCATGACAAATAGAGGCTCATTTTGACTCCAAATGGGGGGAAAATACGTTGGAATATTCTTTAAAATTCACCTTAAAAGAGAGAGCTGGGAGCCGGGCATGGTGGTGCAGCCCTATAATCCCAGCACTCAGGAGGCTGTGGTAGGAGATGCCCTGTGACTTCAAGGCCAGTCTCAAGTGCAGTGAGACCCTGTTTCAAAAAAATAACAAAACAAAACGAAAGAAAAATCTGGAGAAGTGAAAGTACTCAAAGTCTAAAATAGCAAAAACAGACCCCAAAGGTTTTATGCCTCTAGGAGTGTGCTAGTGGGCTCTTTTTAAGAATGCTATTTTCAGAAATGTTTTCCCCTTGGAAAAGTTTGAACAAAAATTGCACTGAAAAAGCGATTTTCGCTTTGAGTGCTAAAAGTCCTCCTTTGGCGAGGTCTCCATTCTTTTGCGGGTCTACTTAGTGAAAGCATAGAAGCAATCATGAGTGGCCTCTTCAGTGATATTGGTGTCATTTGGTTTAGTGGTAGGTTAATGAATCACTCCCCAAGTTGACTCTGAAAAAGGTTCGGGTGTTCATAGAATAATTTAACAGCATTTACCTTACTTGTCCAGCTTAATTATTGTGTCATTCTGCTGCTTTTAAAACTCTGTAGAAAACTTCTGTGGTAAAGAAGATCCAGCTTCGGAAGTCCTTTGTCCTTGCTTGTAAAGAGAAAAATGTGTGTTTTTAAAAAATTTTAACCTTTTGTTGCTAAAGTAAAACCATGTAAAGAGAGTTTTTAAATAGTGGCTTTTAAAAGATTGTTAGTGATGATTTCCACTTTGATACTCACTGAAATAAGTATTTACTATGCTGAATGTAATCTAAAGGAAAATATTGATAGTTCTTTGGAGAGGAAAGGAAGATGTTGCTTTTCAATAGACCCAAAAAAGAAATTCACACTGTAGGTTTTTTTTTTTTTTTCATTATGTTATCAAAACCTTGTATTGCCAGGTACGGTGGTACATGCCTGTAATCTTAACTACTTGGGAGGCTGAGGCAGGAGGATCATAATTCAAGGCCAGGCTGAGAAACTTAGTGAGAGCTGGTCTCAAAATTAAAACAAAAAATTTTAAAGGGTTGGGGATATAGCTCAGTGGTAGAGCCCCCCTGGGGTTGATCCTCAGTATGAAAAAAAATACACATAGGGGCCAGGGATTTAGCTCAGTGGTTCCGCCGCCTGACTCGCAAGTGCAAGGTCCCGAGTTCAATCCCCAGTACCAAAAAAAAAAAAAAAAGAAAAAGAAAAGAAAAGAAACTCACATAAAAACTTTATATTCTTAGACGGGATGGGTACTTAAATTATTTGGAAAAAAAAGTTAAAGTCAATTCAGGGAGTTTATGACACTGAAAACTTCAGAGTTATAATATCTGCCTTCAAACTTAATGATAGATTAGCTCAGAAAAGTTGTATGTTTCTTATTTTAGGCATGCCTGAAATTAAGAAAAAGAAAAGTGCCTAGGTTTTGGTGGGCTAAATTTGTATCTTGGCTTTTGGTTTTACTGACTGCCTTGTTTTGGCTTTCTGAGTAATAAAGCTACCTCGAGCCTCAGTCTTCATTCACTTAATTTGTTTTCATTCTCATTTATGCCAAAATAACTCCCTAGAGTGAGATCTTCACCAGCAGTTCCCAACTTCTTCAACTCAGAAAATTACCTCTCAAAGCCAAAAGCATTGACTGACCACGTGGTGCTGTAGTTCTTGTACTTTTCAAGTGTCTGAGAACTGCATAGTAATGAAAAAATAAGATTTGTATTTTATCATTACATCAGAATCTAGAAACATTTTAGGAACACAAATACACATACATCAGACATAGGCTTATTCTTTTTTTTTTTTTCTTTTTCCAGTACTGGGGATTGAACTCAGAACCTTGTACTTGTGAGGCAGGTGCAGCACCACTGAGCTAAATTCCCAGCCCCCAATAGGCTTATTCTTGAGCCTACGGTCAACCATCAGCATTGTCTGTCCTCTTTTTCAGGGGCCTCTAAAGGGAGAGGTCCTCATAGGTGCTTCCAAGATGTTATCCATTGACTGAGCGCTCTTGCTCAATTCATACAGAATTCACAAGTTGGCAAAGTGTAGCTTTTTTAGTGTTAACAGCTCTGGGCTTTGAGTACCAGCAGGTATCAACTCTTTTGAAGGCCTTTCTTGCTGTTTGTACCAAACAGATACAGGAACTCTTCCACCCATTGGCAATGGTGGTGCCCAGCTATTCTATGGCATTCTGGCCGCTAGCCTTGCTCTCTGACCTCCAGCCATCCTCAGTGTTAGCAGTTCCAGCTGCAGCCACCGTAACACCAGCAGCCCTTGGTGTTACAGCCCAGCACATGCTGCCCCAGACAAAACTACAAATAGGCAATAGGATGTGATCTGGAAAATGCTTTACTAGAACTGTGTGGTGCAGTACAAGGGGAACTGTGCAGGGACTGACAGACTCACTTGTTGCAGGTCGCGTATATATTCAGTGGTCATAGATAGGCAAGGGGCTCCTCTCCGAACTGCAGGTGCTAGAGTTATTTGTGTGACTGAAGCCTGCTTCAGCGGAGGTAAGGCTTCTGGAGAGGTCACAGGGCACCGATACAGCACTGGCCTGGCCACAAGCCTTCTGGGGCAGCCATGGAATAAGAGTATCTTTTGGAATCATCGAATCCCTCTCCCCTGTCACACCACTGTTAGGAGGCAAGCGCTCGACAACTGAGCTACATCCCCAGTGGTGCAAAGTAGTCTTCACTTAGTCTACGCCCAGTGGTTTCCATGCATTGGGGTTAATAACTCTTTTTTATAATCTTGCAGCCCTACTCAGGAATCAGTCATTCTTGAGTCTCTCAGGGTAAAAGAAAGCTTTTGGGATCAATAATTTGATCATCTGAACAACATTCCCAGTTCTCCCTTCCTCATTTGCCCTTCCTTCCCCTAAGAAGTTAGACAGTATGGACTGAACTGCCTGCTTGCTTCTGCTCCTGAATCCCCAAAGTTAAAGTAGAGGCCCAATGCTTATTCAGAATAACATCCCCCAAGTTATGTGCATATTTTATCTGTTTTCTTATTTAGTAAGATTGGGGAGACATGGCCAAAAATTCTAGTAAGTTAGGGACGAACTGGAACAGTCATGATGTTCTCTTAAAGCTACAGTCAAGATCAAAAGGAAGATGAGTCTAGGCCTACTTCCTGTTGGTGGAAGGTTACTTTCCTCCTGTTTTCTAGCTGTACAGATCAAAGGATAAGATGATCAGCTAGATTTGAGGAGCATCTACATCAGGGCAAGAATTAGAATATATTATTTCTAAATCTCTCTTAGATATGTCCTATGGGTCAAAGCTACAGAGGTTATCAGAAGAGCAAGAATAAACCTTCAAATGCAAGTCTGTGCTTCTGAATGGACAACTTTCTCTTAAGGAGCTTGTATCTATTTTCTCTCTGTGACTTTAGCAAAAGGCTGTCACTGCATTGTTCTATTTGGGGAAGATAATTATATATAAACATATCCCCCCACACACTAGCTAAGTATATCCAAACTTTATAAATTCCACTTTATAATTTTAAAAAGATATTAAAAGTATAAGTAGAAGCAGAGAATTTAGCTCAGTGGTTTCGGCTGCCTGCTGTGCAAGCACAAGGACCCGAGTTCGATCCCCAGTACCAAAAAAAAAAAAAAAGAAATGTATATATATATATAAGTAGAGTCTCAGCTTATGCAAATTAGAATTCCTGGCAACATCTCAAAGTGTTGGGTGAGTATGTATAATTAAGTAAAGTATTAAATCTGGTGATATAGTCAGAGATACTGGTTTTGGACTCTTATTTAACTAAAATTAACTAATGTCCAGTAGAATATTATCAACCATGAACTATTACATGGAAACAGTGGATTTTAACCTTTTTTTTTTTTAGTATAGGAAAGAAAAGCTCCTCTGCATGGAAAATGACATTTTTTTCATATCAAACCCACTGCTTGGGCATACTCTACAATAACACTAGGGATGGGAATGCTAAATTCTGCCTTCAGCTTTTACTATGTGAAACTGTTTTTACACTTACACAAGATTTCAGAAATGGCCTTCTATCAAGCCTAGGTGAGATAGCATCTTTCACATAGTATAACTTCTTCTTCCTCATAGTTGTGTATTATTGCCACTTACCAAATAGCTGATTCTTCACATAGCTGAGTTATCAAGACAAATTCTCGGGCTGGGGATGTAGCTCAGTGATAGAGTACTCACCTAGCATGCAGTGGCTCTAGGTTTGATCCTCAGAAACAAACAAAACAATTCACAAACTCATCTCCAAGATTCTCTGAAGACAAAGATATTTTAAGGATTAAACACTTAAAATGTAAAAGCTTTAGAACTTAAAGGGTAAGCCTTGATCATCTGGAAAACTAATTTATGTGGAACAATCAGTATTGTTGTTATTAAGATATTTGCCTTGAAAAGGCCAATGGAATCGGCAAATTGTATTGCAACTCATTAGTAATTAGATGATCACAATGAATAGAGTTCATGGCTTTAAAACACTTGTATTTTATAATGTTACACTTTTATTACTGACAACAGCATACAACATCCATTTTGAGTTGGTAGATACTGTTATTTTAACCTTTCCTTATGAAATTATTTAAATCTGTGCCTTGATGTAAATGAGCCATCACTCTACAGAAGCCTGGCCCCAAGTGCCACCTCTGAAGAAGAACCCAAACTCTGCTGTTTATTAGCGAGGCAAGTTGCATAACTTCTCTGGCCCTCAGTTTCTTCATCTGTGAATTGGGAGAAATAACAGTAACTATTGTATAGGATTGTTTTTAAGGATTTGATTAAATAATGCATGTACATTACCTAGACCAAAATGAATGCACATTAGCTTTTGAGTAGTATTAGCTATAGTTCTTACTAATATTTTAGCTGGTTCTGAAAACTGAATTTTTTTTTTATAGGTCAGGCTTAGATATTTCATATAAGTAAAAAAAAAATCAGGGGCCATTTTCATTTTCAAGACAACTATTATTACATTGAAATAGTCCTGTGTGTTTCTTCTCCCTAGATAATTTTAATGATTTGGAATATCCTTAATAACCTGACTGGATATTTTTGCATCCACTTTAAGGCTGATTGCAGCTTGAGCCGCCATCTTTCTATCTTGTACGGAGCCCCTCTATATCCAGTAGCCTTCCTGCTCCCTTGGTTCCCTTGGAGACACTATCAAGAAGGTGACCGGCTTAGTAGACTTCACCTGGTGGCATCATTGTGTGCTTTTTATAGCACACTCACCTATGTGCAGCAAGCCCACTGTAGACTATTTGTAGAGACTTTCACTAGTCATGAAAGTAGGCTTCAACTGATTAAGATTAACCAAGTGGCATCACTAGTAGGATCTACCAGTATCCTTTTCTGTGGCCTCTTTTCTAATAACATGGAAATTCTGCCCAATTTTCAGGCTGCTGCAATTTTCATTGCCTTTCTTGCAGCTGCCAGCCTTTGCACTGGCATGTACCACATGAGGCATTTGGAACCTAAAAGAACCCCTGAGGAAAACTTTCTCTTGGAAAGTGAACAGGATGTTGCCTGGACATCTGTCTTCTTACTGATGGAACAAATCTTGTCCCAGAAAAACTTTTACCTTTTTTTAATAATGAATTTCTTCCAAGTCTTCCATTTAACTTTCTTCAACAACTTCATGATGATCTTTGCAGATACTCTCTTTCTCAGCGATGTTCTTTCTTCTTCCATGAGAAACATCATGTATGGGGCAGGCTTTATTTGCCCACAGGTATGTAATTAACTTTTTTTTTTTGGTAATGGGATCGAACTCGGGTCCTTTCGCTTGCAAGGCAGGCAGCGGAACCACTGAGCTACATCCCCGGCTAATTGCACACAGCTATGTGTAATTCTTCAGGCATTGTCCTATACAGATCAAAGATTTAACTCTCAGGTGCCTGAGGAAATTAGAGACCTGATTATCTTAGTAGTTTGAACAAACGACACATATTTTTTAAGAGACTCAAAGATTCAGAGCCCCAGATGTTAATATAATTCACTAGAAACAGTAGGTCAACAAGATGAAAGGAAGAAAAGAGAGCCCAGTGAAAGCCAAGCAATGTGATATTTTAAACATTTTAGTTTTTAAATTTAATTCCCCAAGCTTTCTCATTTAAACTTGAGCAGAACTATGGGAGAAAATAAACGGCTTCCTATAGACATGTAGTTGTGTTTTCTTCAGGTGTTTAAGATTTCTGTGATAGAAGAAGAGTCACTTGATCAAGAATTCATGGAGTAAGATTTCAAAACACTTGGCGAACAACTTGAGTCTCAGAATTCCAGACTGTTATTAAAATTCCATGCTCATGACTACCAGTATTATTGAAGAGGGCATGTCCTCCTTCAAAAACATACTGGCATGCTGTTTATTTTACCATTTGGAGAACTGCTATGTGGTTCCCCTTAACCTAATATATCCACTAAAAATATGACTCAACCTAGCCTTTGATATGCGTTTCTCCTGTTTTTACAATTCTATAATAAGTAAAACCTGTTACTTATACTCTTCAAGGAATAAGAAATGAGTTATTCCAGAGAGATAGGCAGGGTTTTTTTTTGTTGTTTTTTTGGTACTGGGGATCAAACTCGGGACCTTGCGCTTGCGAGGCAGGTACCAGAACCACTGAGCTAAATCCCCAGCCCGAGATAGGCAGTTTTTACTGTTTGCCAAAAATATTTAAGCCATTTGGGGTAGAAGCAGTTCTAAAATGTTTTCAGTGTGACTATAATTTATAGTATATAAAAAAGTACAGTAATATGGCTTGTCTTTAGATGCCCCCTCCAAAGCGTCATACAGTCACAGGTGGGGCTTTTTCAGAAGTGGCTGGATCTAGAGTATGTGATGCTGGAATTGATTCATGGTGCAATGCTAGGACCAAGGGCACTAGGATTAAGGGTGTGAGTGCTCCCCGCCCTAAGTAGCCTGGATAAGATATAAGAGATAGAAAGAGATGTGGTCGTCCCTTGTTGGTTTGCTACCTTCTGCCTGCCATGGACTATTTCTCCTCTGTGATGCTTGTGTGCCACGCCACCCTGCCTCGGAGCTGGCTGATTATGGACTGAAACCTCTACAAACTGTGAGCTAAATAAACCTCTCCTCTTTTAACTTTGGGTGTTGGATATTTTGTCTTAGCAATGAGAAAAGTAACTAACACAAAGTTTGCCTTTCTGCTCAAGGTCTTTATGGTTCTGTTTGTACCATAATAATGATAACTCTCAGTCATTGAATGCCTACCATTTGCCATGGACTATGCCAAACATATTGTAAATATAGGGCCAGAGATTTAGCTCAGTGGTTTCACCACCTGCTGCGCAAGCGCAAGGACCTGAGTTCGATCCCTGGTACCGAAAACAACAACAACAACAACATATTGTAAATATTACTTTATGTGATCATCATAACAAACTGCATGGGAGAGATCCTTCTCATCCTTAGAGATGAGACAAGGGAAGCACAGAGGCATCTGCCTTCAGAGCCATGTAATTTAAGACTCTTGTCCCTAGCCAAGCATGGTAGCACATACCTGTACTTCCAGCTACTTGGAGGGCAGAGATGTGAGGATTACTTAAGCTTACAAGTTTGAGACCAGCCCAGGCAACATAGTGGGACTCTCATCTCAACAACAACAACAACAAAATCTCACATGTGCTATGTGTACATCATTTATCAGAGTATACCAAATGGAAGTTTTGGTTTATTCATAGAGTCTCAAGTGTTGTGTGGCCCTGATAAAATGATGTTCTCCCTTCACAGTAACTGGAGATTTGGCAAGCTCTTTGCTTCTATGTTAGTCAGTTTCATGTTACTGTAACAAAATACCTGGGATGATTAACTTATAAGAGAAAAAGGTTACTTACCTTATAGTTCTGGAAGTTGCAGTCCAAGAGCAGGCAGATCTATTGCTTTGGGCTCTGCTGTGGGAACCCAATAACAATGGTGGGGAACATACAGTAAAGGAAACTATTCACTTCATGGCCAGAAAGCAAGGAAGGGACTGGGGTCCCACTACTAATGACCAAGGGCTGCCTACCGTGGTTAAGATGTTCAACCTCTCTGTGTCTCAGTTTCCTCATCTATAAAAAGAGAATAAAAATATGGCCTACCTAATGGAATTACTATGAGGATTAAATGAGTTTAAACTCACAAAGTACTTAAAATGGCACAAAATGAACACTCTAGAAACATTAGCTCTAATTATGTACAACTGATTCAAGGCTGCAGATATTTATCAGACTTGCTGCAAGCAGAGTACTGCCTTTTCTCCCTTTGATTTAGGCTTCTTTGGTGTGGGTTTGCCAACACTTATGGTGGGACATGCTGTTCACAGATTCCTCTTCAGTAACATACGCGCAGGGAGCCAAAAACCTCAGTTTGTAGAGGACTTTATTTTAATAAAAGTAGAGGCAGTCTTTTAATTTTCTTTCATGATTTTTGTAACGATACTCATGACTGGCTCGTGTCTTTTTGTGTACTGGATACAAGAATAATAACAAGGATTGAGTGCCTTACCTGTTGTTTGTTTGTTTTTTGGTACCGGGGATCGAACTCGGGACCTTGTACTTGCCGAGGCAGGCGGAGGAACCACTGAGCTAAATCCCCGGCTGGCCGGGTGCCTTATATGTTGAATGTGGAGCTAGATGAAGGAGCAGGGCTCAGTGTGAGAGAGTGCAATGAAAGAAAATTTAACCTGCTGTGCAAGCGCAGGACCTGAGTTTGATCCCCGGTACAAAAAAAAAAAAAGAAAATTTAAGAGGGGGTGCTGGTGGAGGAAATGCCTCTTAGGTGAAGTCACTTTCTGTGCCCATAGCTGGTTAAAAGTGCAAGGCTGGAATTCAAACCTAGGGCATCTGATTTTAAAATCTTGTACGTTCTCTTCTGCCACACATTTCTTACAGTATTAGCTTCTTGGATTTTGTGTATTTACACATCAGATATTGAGAAGAAGCAGTTTCATTTCAACATGTGGAAATGTGCTACTTTGTAATGTTATAATCATAGCAAGAACATAATTAGACTTGTTGGGGTGTTTTGCATACTTTCTACTACAAAACTCTTAAGAAATGCCTTGAATTACATCGATCACAGAGCCAGAAAATTTCTACTCCTTGAAAACTTTCTTTCCTTGAAAGTAGAAAAGTAAGCCAAAAAATGTCAGGGGGGAAAAAAACCCTTGTTTAGTAAAGGACATTTGTTTTGGACTTTTATTATTCAAAGTTCTCTTCTAATTGTAATATACATACATTTTGTTACTGAAGACTTTTCAGGCTAGACAATATACTTTTAAAAATTGAAATCAAGGAGTATTTTCTGATCTTTTTAAATGTACATTAAGTGGGTATTGAGTACAAGCTTTTCAGTCTAGAACAAGTAACTTTTTCATTGGTAGCAAGAAATACAGAAAAAACCCTAAATCTGAATTCTCTATTAGAATTATGAAAATATGTAAGGTAAGGCAGGACCAGAAGAAATATAGATAGAATTGTAAACATTTTTTTGGTACTGGGAATCGAACTCAGGACCTTGTGCTTGACAGACAGGCATGGGACTGCTTAGCTATCCTGGCCCTAGAATCGTAAACTCTTTACCTTTGGTTTTAGGTAAAAAGTACATTTCAGATTTATATCGCAGTAAGAAGATTGAGATTTTCATTCGTTCAATAAATATTTGTTTCACCTACTGCTAGGTGAATTCTGGGCTTTAGCTTTAAAATTTGAATTTTTTTTCAGTTGAAACTTTCACTTCACCATAAAGCAATGGCTGTTTGTTTCTAAGTGATTGATTTTTTCTTATGATCACTTTTAGTAAAATCTCTATATTAGCATGAAATAAAACATAAGGAAACCATTTCCTAGTTTATTTGTTTTATTGGGAAGAATAGCAGTTTCTTTGTTATAGAATATTAATACCTAGAGTTGATTTTTGGATATATATGTGGATAATAGGATCTCTAATCAAGATAGTGGTGGTACTATAGTTCAGAAACAATTTTATTTTGTAATGAGAGTATTTATTTTGTCATTCACAGGAAAAAGTAGTATAATATGTGGGGTCCCTTCTTAACAGAGTGTCAGTCTGTTTTCATTTAGTGCCTTGTACTCATCATTTGGTCCTGGCTGAAAAAATGTGGTTACTATAAGATTATCTTAATTTCTTTCTCCCTAGAAGGAGCAGCTTCAATTGTCATGTTACTTCTAGGACAGGAATACTATTATTGTCTGGCCCTTTATCTCACTATTACCATGTAAGTAAATGATAGTTCCAATTTCAGAATTACGCTGGGTCTTGCCATTCGCCTTTCAAGCAGTGGAACATTATTGATGTGAACTGGGTTTAATATGCATTTCTAGGCAGGGGCATTGTACCTTTCTGCCAAATTGTTTAAATGCCAGCAGCTTTTTTGAAGGAATTTCATCTACCTCATTTTGTAGTAAAGTCAAGTTCCTTCTTTTTTTAACCTTTTGAACTACAACATTTAGTAAATGGTTCTAGGTATGAAAAAAAAGCTGTGGGCTTCTATTCCTCCAACTCTTCCTCCTATTTCTCCTCCTATATATATTAGTATTGGGAATTGAATCCAGTGCCTTTGCACTGAGCTACAGCCCATTTTTCTCATTTATTTATTTATTTGTTTGTTTGTTTGTTTGTTTATTTATTTATTTGAGACAAGGTCTTGCTGTGTAGTTCAGATTGACCTTGAACTCACTACATAGCCCAGGCTGGCCTCAAACTCATATAACTCCCCTGCCTCAGCCTCCTGAATAGCTGAGAGTATGGAAATGTGCCTCTGTGCCTGGCTCTTTTTTTTTTTTAACTCCCACATGTGAGAGAACATGTAGTACCTGCTCTTCTGTGTGTGGCTCATTTCACTTAACATAATGTTCTTCAGTTTACCCATTTTGCTGCATACAATGGGATTTCATTCTTCTTCATGGCTGAACAATATTTCATTGTGTATAAATACCACACTCCTTCCTTCTTTCCTTTCTTTCTCTTTCCCTCCCCTTCCTTCCTTCCTTCCTTCCTTCCTTCCTTCCTGTGTTATGTACATTTACCAATTCCCTGCAATGAATGTAATCATCATGTACTGCCAACATGTACCAATAAAAGTCCAAAGTTCCTTACATATTCTGGATATTAATCCTTTGTCAGGTGAATAGTCAGCAGATATCTTCTCCCTTGAGCCATCTGCCTCTTTGATTCATTTTGAGTTGATTTTTGTACAGGGTAAAGGAGAGGGGTCAAATTTTAATCTTCTGCAGATGGTTACCTAGCCCCCCCTTTCTCCTTATTTCTTTTTGTGGGACTGGGGTCTGAATGCAGAGTTCTGTTCTAAGTTACATCCCCAGCCCCCTCCTTTTTTAAAAATTTGAGACAGGATCTTGCAAAGTTGCTCAGGCTGCTTGTGAACTTTTCATCTCCTGCCTCAGCCTCCTGAGCCACTGTGCCCAGGTCATATTTTCTTTATCCATTTATCCATTAGTGGGCACCTGGATGGTTCTGGGTCCTAACTACTGTGAGCAGTGCTGCAGCAAGCCCGGGCAGTTCTAGCTCCAGCAGGGTGGTTTATACCCAGAAGCAGGTTAGCTGGAGCATATGACAGAAATATTTTTATTTTCTTGAGGAGCCTCCATTATGATGTTCCAATTTTCATTCCTACCAACTGTGTATAAAAGTTCTTTTTTCTCCACATCTTTACTGCATTTGTTACTTTAAAAATTTTTAATAATCACTTTAACTGGAGTGAGATATGTCATAGCTTTGATTTGCATTTCCCTGATGGCTAATGATATTGAGCATTTTTTCATACATCATCTGTATTTCTTCTTTTGAAAAGTGTTTATTAAGATCGCTTGCCCATGCACAGTAAAGGAAACCACCAACAGAGTGAAGAGACAACCTACAGGATGGAAAAAAAATTTGTCAGCTAATCTGAAGACAAAGGATTAATATCTAGAATATACATATACAGAACTCAAAAAATTAAGCTTCCCAAATTTAAAGACCCAACTAAAAATTAGGCATCTGAAATGCATAAGCACTTCTCAGATGAAGAAATGCAAACATCCAATAAATACATGAAAAAATATTCAACATTGCTGGCCATTCAAGATATACAAATGTTTTACACTGAGATTCCATTTCACCTCAGAAAGAATGGCTATCATTAAGAAATCAACCAGTAACAAATGCTAGCAGGGCTATGGGGAGAAAGAAAACCTTCTCCACTGTTGGTGGGACTGTAAACTGACCCAACCACTATGGAAATCGGTATGGAGATTCTTCAAAAAACTAAAACTAGAAATTCCATTTGAGAGGCCAGGGATTTAGCTCAGAGGTGCCATGCCTGCCTCACAAGTGCCAGGTCCTGAGTTTGATCCCTTCTACCAAAAAAAAAAAAAAAGAAATTCCATTTGACCCAGCTGTTCCCCTTCTAGGTATCTTCCCCCAAAGAGTTGAAGACATCATGTTACAGTGGTGTATGCATACTCACGTTTATAATTGTGCAATTCATAATAGCGAGATCTTGGAAACAACCTATATGTCCATCAACAGGTGAATAAATAAAGAAAATGTGGTATTTACACACAGTGGAGTACTAGTCTGCCATAAGGAAGGATAAACTTGAGTCATTTGTAGGAAAATAAATGCACCTTGAGACTATATGTTTGTTTGTTTGTTTTGGTACCAGGGATTGAACTTGGGTCTTTGCGCTTACAAGGCAGGCAGCGGAACCACTGAGCTAAATCCCCAGCACTGAGACTATATGTTAAGTGAAGTAACTCAGACATATAAGCTTAAATATCGCATGGTTTCTCTTAATGAAAGACTGTGTATGTAAAATAAAACATAATAGGAAAAAAGAGAGAGAGAAAAAGATATTGTAATCCACTATGGACAATGTATCTAAAAGTGTACCTTGACTTGTTACAATTATCTTTATGTTTTCTATGTTTTTTGGCCTATTAATCTAGCTTTCAATCTGTATATATAATTAAGTTTATATGGTCTTATAAATAAATGAATTTGATGCTAGAAAAATAAAAGGGAGGTGGCAGAAAGGGGAAAAAAAGAATTGAAATGTGTTATGTACATTTACCAATTCCCTGCAATGAATGTAATCATCATGTACTGCCAACATGTACCAATAAAAGTCCAAAGTTCCTTACATATTCTGGATATTAATCCTTTGTCAGGTGAATAGTCAGCAGATATCTTCTCCCTTGAGCCATCTGCCTCTTTGATCTATTTCAAGTTGATTTTTGTACAGGGTAAGAGAGCGGGGTCAAATTTTAATCTTCTGCAGATTGTTACCCAGTTTGCCCAGCACCACTTATTGGAGGCTGTTCTTGTCCAGTGTATGTTTTTGGTGCCTTTATGAAAAATTGGTTGTCTCATCTTATTTCTGAAATCTCTACTCTTCCGAAAAGCCCATGGACATCTCAAGTTCAATGGGTCTCCAATCAAGGATCTTGCTCCCTGCCTATCTGCTGTTTTGCTTTGTTCACCGTCATGGGAAGTGGCTCCACCATCTCTCTGCTTACCCAAGTAATGGACTGAGAAGCTGTCTTTGCTTTTTCTCTTTGACACCTACAACTGACATGCTCCCCATTATTGGCAATTTCATCTCTCCAGTCTGTCCTGAGTCCAACCCTTCTCTGCTCTGTTGCTGTTCCTTCAGTGTAGCTTCTGGTTGTTGCTTAAAGGAATGCTGTACAGCCTTTGTATGGCATCTTTGCCTCTTTCCTAGCTCCTCCTGTATCGCTTCTACAATAATATGTCATTCCTTTGCTTCACAACCTAAGTGGAATTCCAGATATGTCCAACTGATGACATGTGATGTCCCTTGTTATATGGGTCCCCTTTGCCTCTTCATCCTTATTTCTTTCTCCTCCTCCGCTTGTACTCTATTCTATACCTATAGAAATACTCTGCAGTTCCTGTCAAGCTCTCCCGTATGTCTTGCCTGGAGCTCTCCTGGTGTCTCCTTTGGCTGCAGCTCTGCTGTGCTCGTCTCTGGGAAGCCTGCCTTGACTGCCTCATCTGGATCATGACTCCAGTGCCCTGTGCTTATCTCTGCTGCACTGTTTATCACTTCACACTGAAGTGACCCCTGCTGGATCACGTCTACTGTGAATAGGGTCTAGGATCTAATCACCATGGCCCATGAACCTACTGCAGTCCCTGCAAAGAACTGGTCCATAAAAAATGTGTTTGGAATGAATGAATGAATAAATCCTATTCCACATCTCTGCTGGAACAATCTAGGAAAATTCTCATGAAGGTTTATTTGCATTTTTAGCAATTTGGTAACAAAGAGTATAATAATTAACCCAAAAGGATTCAATCTCTGTGACACTTCAAGGTATTAGGACCCCACAGAGATAACTATTCTGTAAATCTGTAAGAGAGGGCCTGGCAATATCATACTTAAACTGACCTTTAAATGATAAGTTTTAGAATGAAAATTTTTGTTTGCTGTTTATATTTTGAGTTATTTTTTAGGGAAAGGGACATTATGTGTCTTAAGCATATGAGCCAACTCCTGTTTGCTTTTTTCTTCAGTGCTGGGGATCAAACCCAGGGGCACTCTACCACTGAGCTGCATCCCCTGTCCTTTTTATTTTTTGAGACAAGGTTTTGCTCATTTTCCCAGACAGGACTTAAACTTGCAGTCTTCCTGCCTCAGCTTCCCTGAGTAATGGGAATATAGACATGTGTGCCACTGTTCTTGGCTCCTGTTTTCTTTTTCTTTTATACTTATAGTCTTTTCCCCATTTTTATTCTCACATCACAGTTAAAATGTTATAATGTTACATGTCCATTTATAGTTCTTAACTTACCCTATTGTTGCTATTAAGACAAAGATATCTGATGATCTTCCCTGGAAAGTTCTGTTCTGTGATAATTCACGCAAATTTAATGAGCAGGTAGTTATTTGGAAATTTTAAAAAGCATAAAAACCATTTTAAAAACCTCAAGGTAAGTACTATACTTTTTTTTTTCTTTTTTGGTGGCCAGAGATTGAGCCCAGGGTCTTATGTATGCTAAGCAAGTACTTACATATGCTAGCCACACCCCTAGCCCACTCACTTTGCTTTTAAAAGAGAATTATATATTTATGGATATATGTTTGGGGTGTAGAAGTATGTACCTAATACATCTTTCCTTTTCTGTGGGTTTTTTTTTGTGATATCTTTACTTTTATAGTATACAGTTTCATTTTTCCTTCTTGCAAACCAAATGTCAACTTTCATTTGATTTTTTTTTTGTATCGGGGATCGAACTGAGGACCTTGCACTTGTGAGGCAGGCAGCAGAAATTTGATGTTTTTTTAAAGTAACCAGAGATTGTTCATCTCTGTACAATATTTTAACTCTTTTTTTTAGGGTGATTGTGCAGGCTTCTTGTTCTCTATTTAATCTGCCACTGGCTGAAATGCTTGATGCGGATTTACTCAAGTCTAATAGGCAGTAAGTATATTTATTCAGATGTCAGCTACACAATTGTCACACGTAGGCCAGACCTATCAGAGCCTCCACATCCCAGGTATATTAACACTACAAATCACACGTGAAAGAGGTGATCATAAGAGGCCTCACTGGGAGTTAGAGAGCAGAATATTATAGGATATTCATATTTGTTTGCCCCAGGGCAACTTTTCTGCACTTTTGAAAGAACATCGTAATTTGTGTCCCTCAGGTTCATAGAGCCAATGCTATAAAAGGGCAAACCTCAGAAGCCAAAGTGAAATCCCAGTTAACATTATATTATATTATATTATATTCTACATATTCCAAGATGCACCAGGCAGTAAGGCAAAGTGAACTCTGCTTTATGACATTGCAAGAATTAAAATGAAAGTCCATCATATTCATATTCTTTCTTACAAAAATCTAAGCTGATAAGAGGTTTTGAACTCTGGTATGGCTATAAGTGTTTTAGAGTAGTTATAAAATTTTCTTGAATGACAAATATTTTCTAATGTGTCCTATTTTATAGATTAGAGAAGAATGTATTGTTTTAAAACAGATGAACATTATTAGCTCTTTATTTTCTTTTATTTGTGTTTTTGATGTCTAACCAAAATATTGTATCCTGTACAAATGTCTGGAAATGTTTTCCTATCCATATAGCCTCTTTTATTTTATTATTTTATTTTTATTTTTTGGTACCAGGGATTGAACTCAGATCCTCCTGCTTGCGAGGCAGGCGGCAGAACCACTGAGCTAAATGCCCAGCCCTAGCCTCTTTTATTTTTAAATGCAACTTAAATGGAGGAAAGCTTTGCCTGCTGGTTGATTTCGTCTTTTGGTAATTCCATTCCTGTTCCAGAGTCTGGGTCCTACATATTTACAGCAATGAGCAATCCTTCACAGAGGAGCTCCCTTATAATTCAGACCCTATCTTCACTTTTGTGTGTGTGCCCAGAAGAGGGATTGGTTCAAAATGCTTTTGTTCTTGGTTTTTTTTTTTTTGGTACCAGGGATCGAACTCTGGACCTTGTGCTTGCGAGGCAGGCAGCAGAACCACTGAGCTAAATCCCCAGCCCAAAATGCTTTTGTTTTATAAATAAATAAATAAAGAAGCAGTAACTCCAATAAACCACTCTTTCCTCCCTCCCTTTCTCTCTCTCTCCCTCCCTCCCTCCCTCCTTCCTTCTCTTCCTCTCCCTCTCTCTGTGCTGGGGATCAAACCTAGGACCTTGTGCATGGTAAGCATGCACTCTACAACTGAACCCCAAGCCTTCAAATTCTTTTTGAATGAAATAGATTACAAATAAATAAAATGTCTCAAACAGTTGGAAAGGGAAGAATACCCACATTTACCAAATGCCAATGCACATAAGCACTGTATGCCTGTTTGATCATTCATGTCTCACAGCAGCCTTGAGCAGTAAATAATAATTACTGGCTCAACAAATATTTATTGATTGCCTCCTATGTGTGAGGCAGTGAGGGAAATGCCAAGGATACAATACAGCAGGTCTTGTGATGAACTCTCCAGGCTGCATAGTCTTTGTTCCTTCTAAATCATGCTACTTATGTGCATGGCATGTGGTATATTGGGAACTAAATGGCTACTGGAGGACACCTCTGCTTTCTGCTCCCACAGTGAAGCTGTGTCCTTAACAAGGGTCACTGCTTTTCATTCCATGACTATTAATGTCAGATGTACTCATTATCATAATTACAAATATGTATTTGGTACTGAGGATTGAACCCAGGGTCTCATGCATGCAGGCAAGTACTCTACCACTGAGCCACATCATGAGCCCTTTATTTATTTTGAGACAGGGTCTCATAAAGTGCCGGCCTAGGCTGGCCTCAAACTTGCAATCTTTCTGCCTTAGCCTCCCAAGTAGCTGGGATTACAGGGTTGTGCCACCACAGGTAGTTTATAATTAAAAATTTTAATTACAGTTAGACTGTATAAATTTAGGAAATGAAAGTTATATGAAAACTAAGATGAATGCTTTAAAAAAGAATCAGTAAAGGGCCGGGGATTTAGCTCAGTGGTTCCGCCACCTGCCTCCCAAGTGCAAGGTACCGAGTTTGAGCCCCGGTACCAAAAAAAAAAAAGATTCGATAAAGATAAGTTGTACCTCAAATTATGAAATTTGAATGAGAGCCATAAATGTTTTAGTAAAAAGTCATTAAAATCTAAAGGTATTTTGTGCTCATTGCCTGGTCCTCTCTATAACAGGGGTAGGAATTGTATATCAGGTAATGCAGATGCTGTTTATGCAAGAAAGATGACACAGCACTTTCATCAGCACACCCTACTCAAAGGAAAAAACCAACAAAGGGTGACAAATGAGTTCAGTTAATGTAGAATGGCTAATGTGTCTTTGTGTGTGTGTCTTCTTTTAAAAAGACTTCTTTTGTTTTTTAGCCAAATGTACTGATCATGTCAGAGAGGAAAATTTTCAGTTGATGTAGGTCCTATCCTTATGGCATCTGTAGTCTTGTGGGAAAGACAGACAGCAATTGTATTACCATACAGTCATGATTATCCCCATTTTCAGGAAACTAAGACCTTTCTGTGACTAATTTTCCTAAAGTGAAATAACTAGCAGATTGAAGAGCTGGGAATTGAATCCAAGCTCTTATCAAGTCAAACTTTCTTCAGTTCTCTGGTATTGTCTTTCTTTCCTTCTCATCCTTTCTTCTTCTTTCTCTTCCTCTCCTTTGTTTCTTTTCTCTTTCTCTTATGTGCAAAGATTATATCACTCATTGAAATATGACAAGATTTTATTTTATTCAGCCAATGCACATATCTTATATGGCATGATCATTTAAAAATTATGTGGCAGGATTCCTACCAGGAATACATGAAAGTAATCCTTAAGGAGCTTTGGGCAGAAAGACTTAGGTATGAATCCCAGTTTTACCATTTACTAGTCATGTAACCGTGGATGAGTTCATTTGTTCTCCTATCTCTAAAATAGGGGTGATAATATTTTCCTCATGGCATTGCTGTGGGGCTTAAATAAAATATACATGTAGCATGCTTAATATTGTATAGGGCATATATAGTTCTCACTTGCTGAGAATTTGAGAGGGCAGCGATGTCTTCTCTTTGGGGTTTAATTTCTTCACTTAAGATAGAAATTTTCTAGTGCAATAATCCTTTAAAACTAAGGGGTTAATATTTTATAATTACAATGTTATTTCTGGGGTATTTCCTTAGTGTCTAGGAGGACTTCACAGATGAAGAGGCCCTTGATACATAGATATACATGCATATACTTACACATATAAATGCATACACATGTCACTTGTGTGTGATGAAGACCCACACTGTTTTCGTCTGTTCCGGGTCACCCCTTTCTTCAGTAATTTTTGGCTTCAATGTTTTGCTTACCAAACCTGCTCAGTCTTTAGCTCCAATCATGATACTGTCAAGGCTGGACCAGTATGACTGTGGAAACCCAAACAGCAAGTCAAGTAACAAAACCTTTGAAGTCATGTAAAAGAAATGTGAAAACAAACTCAGCCTTTCATATTAATTACTAAACCATTTTCTTGGACTTTGGGTATTGTTAGTCATTAACTCATAGACCTCGAGTAAGCTATAATACAAAGCATTAATGTTAAAGGGGCTGTACCACGAGTGTCTCTAGTACTGTAGATTATTTAAATTACATACACTACATGTGGCTATCTAATTAACACTAAGCTACATATTGCTTTATCTAGGTCACTCTTTCCTTCATTATTATTTCATTTCACAAATGGTTTTGAGGACCTGGTGTTATATGTGAGGTGCAAAGATACTGGGAATATAAGAAGGCTTTGAGGGGCTCTGGATATTACAAAAGAACTGTGTTAAGGGCCCCACCCGAAGTCTAATGGGGCATTCTGGTAATGCAGAGAAGAGATCCTTACCTCAGTCTGGCTTTACAGAAGACGGGGTTCTGGAGCTGAGTTTTGGTGGCTGAGTAGGATTTCTCCCCCTGAGCATGGAGCTGTGTCATTCTAGGCAAAGGAAACAGCATGGCAAATATCAGAAAGTGTGAATGAATTCTCAAGAAGCTTTTCATTTATTCATCCCACAAATACCACTGAGGGCTGCCAAGATTAGCCTATGATATGGCATTGAGGCAGGTACCACAGTGAACAAAACAACAGCCATCTCTGCTGTCACCGAACTTACATTCTAGTGGGAGGGAGGCAGACAAGGCATTAAACAAAATACAGTAACCCTATGTTTAAGTTCTCTGGTGAAAAATAAAGCAAGGAGACTAGGAAGGGATGGGGAAAGCTGCATTTTAAAATGGAGCAATAGAGAATGCTTCACTGAGAAGGTGACATTTGAATAAAGACCTAAAAATATATGGGAAGTAGCTGGGTGTGGTTATGTACACCTGTAATCCCAGCATTCTGGGAGGCTGAGACAGGAGGATTGTAAGTTTGAGCCCAGCATGAGCAATTTAACAACTTAGTGAGATCCTGTCTCAAAAAAAAGGGCAAGGATGTAGCTAAATGCCAAGGTCCTGGCTTCAATCCCCAGTACCGGGGGGTGGATAGGGGTGGGAGGGAGCCAGGTAGGCTCTCTGGGGGAAGAGTGCTCCTGGCAGAAGGCAGGGCCTGTGCAGAGGCATCAAGGTGCAGCACACCGGACATTTTGGGTCTGACACGAAAGCTGGGTGGTCAGAGCAGACTAAGCAGGAGGGAGTGAGGTCAGGATTCAGAGGAGGCCGCATCACAGGGGCCTTGCAGTCCTGCATGTTACCCTGGCTCACTGTCAGATGGGTGGAGGGGGTGAAATAGTGAAAGGTTGATCGACTGACTGAGTAGGTGGTTTTTAGAGCAGTTTTAGGTTCATAAGAAAATCAAGCAGAACGCGCAGAGTTCCCATATACTCCCACCCTTCCCCAGGGCCACAGCCTCTCCCGTTTTCGCTGTCCTGCACCACAGTGGTGTTTTATTACAGGTGGCAAGCTCATGTCGACCTGTCATTAGGACCCAGAGTCCATGCTAGACATCAGGGCTCGTTTTGAAGCCATGCATTCTGTGGGTCTGGAGAGATGTATAATGATGTGTATCCGCCATTACAGTGTCCCACAGAGCATTTTCACTGCTCTACCAATCTTCTGGACTCTATCTTTTATCCTTCATTCCCCACCAACGCCTGGCAAAGACTGATCTTTTTATTGTCTCCCTAGTTTTGCCTTTTCCAGAATGTCATTTGGTTGGACTCATACAGTGTATAACATTTTCAGATTGTCTTCTTTTACTCAATAATATGCACTTACGTTTCTTACACATCTTTTCATGACTTGATGGCTTGTTGCTTTTTAAGCACTGAGTAATATTTTAATAACTAGATCTAACATGATTTATTTATCCATTCACCTACTGGAGGGCATATTGGTTGCTTCCAACTTTTGGAAACTGTGAGTAAAGCTGCTATAAGCATCCATGTGCAGGTTTTTATGTGAACATAAATTTTCATTTTATTTAGCTTAGTGTCAAGGGGCATGATAGCTGAATCACATAGTAAAAGTATGTTCAGTTTTGTAAGAAAATGCCAAACCGTCTTCCACAGTGGCCGTTCCATTTTGCATTCCCACCAGCAATGAATGAAAGTCCTTGCTGCTGCTCATCTATGCCAGAATTTAGTGTTGTCAGTGTCCTAGTTCTGGCCCTTCTAGTAGATACATAGTAGCATCTCATTGTTTTAATTTGAAATCTCCTAATGATACAAGACCTGAAGCATCTTTTTATATGCTCATTTTCTTAAATGGCCTTATTTGTACATGTCCTTAGGAAAGGTGTCTATGAAAGCATTTTACCCACTTTTTAAGCAGGTTGTTCATTCTCTTTAGCAGAGACTACACAGGGACACTGCCAGTTTGAACGAGCCCACTTTCCACCTTAGAGAAGCGTAGTCTTCCTTTTACTCAGGTCAGAGAGGGCATGTCAGCAGGTCACAGAGCAAACAAAGGACTCATCAGCCAGCCACAAGCCCACTGTTTCTGTGACCCACCCCCTCAAAAGCCCACCAAAATGCTGTTAAAAAAGCTTCTTAGCCTGTAAGAGACACCTTCTCTGCTCTGCTCAGAAAGAGAGGTCCCTCTCGGGTTTAGCACTAGACCTGCTTGGATTGTTGAGTTCACATTCTCTTCCCTCTTTCCCACTCACTCTTACTGTTGAGTTTTAAGAGCTTTTGTATATTTTGAGAAACAGTCCTTTAACAGATATTTCCTGTGTAATTATTTGCTCCTGGTCTGTGGCTTGTTTTACCATTCTCATGATAGTGCCTTTCACACAGCAAAAGTTTTCAGTCTGAAGTCCCTCTCATAAATTCTTTCTTTCATGGACCATACCTTTAGTATTGTATCTACAAAGTCACTGCCACATCCAAGGTCACCTAGATTTTCTCAAATATTCTATTCTGGTTTTATAGATTTTCATTTTACATTAAGGGCTATAATCTCTTTTGAGTAATTTTTTTCATGAAGGTTATAAGGTTCATATCTAGATTTCTTTTTTCTTTTTTTTTTGCAGTGGAAGTGGATATTCGTTGTTCCAGCACCATTTATTGAAGACTTACATTTTCTCCATTGTATTGCCTTTGCTCTTTTGTTGAAGTTCAGTTGATTACATTTATGTGGTCTATTCTGGGCTATCTGTTCCATTTCATTGATCTATTTGTCTCTTGATTCACCAGTACCACACTTCTTGATTACTGTAGCTATTGTCTTGGCTATTCTGGCTCTTCTCCTCTCTGCTTAAACATTAGAGTTACTTGGCCAATATCTACATAATAACTTGCCAGGATTTTAACTGAGATTCCATTGAATCTGTAGGTCAAATTGGGAAGAACTGCCATCTACACTTGATCTTAGCTAAAAGGCTGAGAAGCGATGAGAATTGACGTCTTAGAGTATCTAGTCTCCCTATTCATGAATATGAATTGGCTTTCCGTTTTTGTTAGTCTTTCTTTGATTCCTTTCACCAGAGTTTTGCAGTTTTCCTCATATAGATCTTGTACATGTTTTGTTGGCCTTGTACCTAAATAGTTCATATTTTGGAGCACTAATGTAAATGATATTGTATTTTTAATGTAAACGTCCAGTTGTTCATTGGTAGTAGATAGGTGAAAGATTTGCTCTTGTTTTCTTTTTGGACCAGGGATTAAACTCAGGACCTTGCACTTGCAAGGCAAGCAGCAGCACCGCTGAGCTAAATCCCCAGCCCAAGATTGGCTCTTGTATTTTGCACACTTAGATTCAACTGGTTACCTCTTACATTGGCTTTATCACATATTGATCAACATATCCATCTATTTATCAATATTTACCATCTTGTTTTTCTCATAACTTGGTATTATGAAAAAATTTAAATAAAAAAAGTTTAAAGAAAAATACAAAGAAAATCTCTATGGTCACTCCTTCACTCCTTAGATTCAACAGTTGTTAACATTGTACACAGCTGATATATATATTTCTCTGAATAATTTTAAGGTAAATTGCAGATATAATGGCACTCTACCCTTGATAGTTTAGCATGCATCTCCTGGAAGTGAAAGCATCCTGATGGGAGAGTTTTGAGCAGAGTAATGACCTGACTTGACCTGCCTTTTTTTTTTTTTTTGGTATTGGGGATCAAACTCGGGACCTTGTGCTTGTGAGGCAGGCGCTGGAACCACTGAGCTACATCCCCGGCTTGACCTGCCTTTTTAACAGCGTCCCTCTTGCTGATATGTTCACTATAGACTGAGAGGAGAAGGGGGTGCCTGGGAACCTGTAGTTTAGTGGCCTGTGATTTATCAGGTTTGATGGCAGCTAGAAGAAGGCACGGTTGGAAGGGCAATTGGGCTGATGTACAAGAGCTGCATGTTAGGGTTAGAAGGTTTTATTTAGAAGGGCTTATCAAACCTGTACATCATAGTTTCCCAAATATGATGACTTTTGACTTTTGTTGAGTATGCTAAGCACTGTTATTCACTTAGTATTTTTCTTTAAATTTATTTTAAGTTACTAACTTTAAAAAGTCTTAACTGCCATAAGAAAAAGTATCCATGAAATCATTCACTTGGCAAACTTCACTTTTCCTAACACAATTAAAATATTCAATCATTAAAGTAAAACTATTGTGTATGCAGATGAAAATCATTGTGTGTACTACTGCTGAGTGCTGTATTTTGGGAAAGACCATTCAAGGTAAAGAAAAGTCACTGAAGATTTTTAACCAGGAGAAAGACAGGAGCTAAGTTTGTCTTAGAACATTCTCGCCATGGAGTAAAAGAAGGATTGGAGGGGGGAAAAAATAAAAGTTTAGTTACTAGTTGCTGACTATAGAATAAACAGTGAAGATATGAAGATAGATGTCTTAGTTTCTTTTCTCTCACTGCTGAGACAAAATATCTGATACCCAAAGTTAAAGGAGGAAAGGTTTATTTGGCTCACAGTTTGTAGTTTCAGTTCATAGTCGGCTGGCTCCAAGGCAGGGTGGCATGGCAAAG